TATATATATATATATATATTCAATTATTAATATTTTAATTACAACTTTTCATTATAAAAAATAACTTAAAAAGTAAGGATTAATAATTGCAATTTAATATTCTATCACAATTGAGTTAATCTCTCATTACGTCATTTGTAAGAGATTAATTCTATAATTTTAATCTATTCAGTTTAAATTTGTTAAAAGGGTGGTAAAATAATCATTAGTGTCAGTTTATGTAATAATTATTATTTCATAAGTTTAATATATTATTAAAAAAATTGAAACAGAAAATAAGTAATTTTCAGTAATTTTAATTATTATTTTTTTAATTGTACTCTATATCAATATACTTATTACTATTTTTATTACGTTTTTTTTTTTACTAAAGTGCATTATAACTCGTACCCGTGCATACTAGTTGTTATTAAGTTATTATTTTATAGTATGCATTTGTGATAATAAAAATACAGCTATACCTAATAAAAAAGATTTTATAATTTATTTATTTATTATATTTTCTTAATATGTAAAAAATACTTAATAAATTGTGATTTAGTATATCCTTTAATGATTTTCATATCCATATTATTTAGACTCTGCCATGTAAATCTAATATTTTATTCTTTAATGATTTATCAAGAACTTACATAAGCTTTATAATGTTAACATATCTTTGTATTTTTTTTTCTGGGGTTAAATCACCGGGTTTAAATAATCTATTATTTATAAGAAAACTAAAATATTAGAATAATAGTAATTTGTAAAATTTTATACGTAATTTTAATCTAATTGATTTGAATTTGACTAATATATGTAAATTAGAATCTCATGGTCAATTTGAAAATTTTATCTATGGATAAAAAAATTAGTTTTCTACAAATAATTTTAAAATATTGAGATATTCTTTCTCTCAAGGAGATTACTTTGAAAAACCTTTTTTTTTTTTAATATATTTTGTAAAATTATTTTATACTTTATTGAATATATTTTCGTCCTTTTTAAGTGAAGTAGTCTTTGCTTATAAAAAAACAAAACAAAAAACAAAAAAATTAATGTAAAAAAAATGTTGGAATGAACTTTTCGTGATTTTATTCTACTTTCTAAGATACTGGTTTTGATATTATTGAAACATGAAAAGAAAGAAAATAAAAATACCACTCATCATATATATGGCACAAATTAAGGAACAAAAACAAACAACTATTTGATTCACTGTCTAATTAAAAAGTACATTGTATAGAAAAAAAAAAACAGAATTACAAGGAAATTAATAATTTAATTTTTTCCCTTTGTTTGAGTTGATTTGGTATTGAAACCGAGACTGAGCTCTAAGTTCACCTGATCTGCTTCATTCGGCTCAAGCTGATTCATCGATGAAGCGTTCATAGTATTTTCTAAGAACGAATTCAAAAGTGTTCCTGAGTTGACAGAACCACTTCGTGGCTTGGGTTTGAAAATTTGTCCAATTCTCTTAAATTGAGTTTTCTCTTTGATGTCCATATTTGTGCCTTTTGCTGCATGGCGTATGTCGTAGGTTGTTGGAACTGGAAGAACATGATTTTCTTTCGTGAGTGTAGTCAATGATGTTTTTTCATCAACATCTATAACTTTGTTAATGTCGGAGCCAGTTAGCACAGCTTCAACTGCAGCTTCACATCGGCTCCATTCTCCTGTCCATAATAAACCAAGTGCTCCATATGTTGGATTCACCAATCTACCTGAAGCCTCGTACAATAGTGATCTAAAAACAGCTGAAATTATGTGGGAAAATAACACAAATTTAGTTAAATTATTATTATAAATTGAAATTGATGTATAATCTATGAAAATATTTGAAGATAGATTGAAAAAAAAAATCATGATATGCAAAGACAATCAGTAAACTAATTTTAAGAAGATAAATTTTATTATTTACTAGTGAAGGTTCATTAAAAATAAAGCAAAATTTTATATAGACTAATTCAACATAAAGATTGTTAGAATTGAACGAGATTTGAATTTGAGATTTTGAAAAGAATATATTCTCGAATCTCAAACTTACATTAATAGACTAACATTTAAGTTAATGTAAAATTATAAGAGAGACTATAGATAATTAGGTACCTGATGCGTTTTGATTAGAACTATTAGCGAGGAGGTTGAGCAAGCCGGTTCGGCCAAAGAATTTGGCAAGGAAAAGAGTGGCATTGCCTTGAGATTCAGGGGAATTGATCCACTCAAGGCAAGGCTTGATGATGCAGTCTTCACTACAACCTTTGCGAAGAGCACGACAACCATTGCAACTCAATTTCATGATGGTTTGATGAAGCAAAAAATATGAATGCTATAGGAGGTATCTTGTGGGGGGTATTTATTAATTAATTAGCCAAAGTAATTGGTAAAAGTAATTGGCAAGTTTTGTAATTAAGACATTTTTTTTGTAAAAATATTGGACTAATTTTAATGTGACCCGCTATTTTGATTTAGATAAAAGAAAGATGGTAAATTGGTAATTTTGGAAACTATCACACCAAGAGATAAAAGTTTTGCCTTTTATAGTTGGTAATAAGAGGATACAAAGGTAGAATTTTTTTTAGTAATAATAATGTTTTGAAAAAAAAATATATAAATAATTATATTTCAGAGAAATTTACATAAATAATTATGATTTAAAAAATGTTATAATACATTAGTCATTTTAGATGACATATATATTGTTTTTTTTAAATGAAGTGTCAAATAAGATGACGCCTAACCATCTTCTAAATTTCTTTTCAATTTTTTTTTATTTACACGTGAATTTTTCAATAGATTTGATATTTCTTGCGGATTTATCTGGACTATTGGTCGCAGATAATTCCGTAAGAACTTCCGTAGATAAGTCCACAGGTAATGTCAAATCTGCAGGAAAATTATCAAATAACTGAAAAAATTAAAAAAATATATAGAAGACACCAAACCAATTCAAGTAGCGCCTATTTTTTAATTCATTTTTAAAAAAAAAAAATGATTATTTGCATAAATTTATCTAAAATATGATTATTTATATTATTTTTTTTCAATACATCGTTATTACTAAAAAAAAATTCACTAATGTGAGACTTAATTAAGAAAATGGAAGTGTGTTGGTCAAAGTGACGTAGAAATTAAAATGAGAGAGTAGAAATACGTTATTTCTCATGAGCTAAAATAATAAAAAGAATTATATGAAACTCCGTAAAGAGAGAAGGTACTTCGCTTTGTCTCAATTTGATCTTGATCAAATATTTTTCTTGATTTTCTTTCCTTTTTGAGATGATTTAGTATTTAGAGATCGTGGGCTTGCCCATTGTTTTTGGTGTGGTTTTCATGATATATACATTATCTCCCAAATATATACAATAAATATCACAAGTGTTTTTAAAGATTTTGTTTGCGAATTCAAATGATAATCAAAAGATTAATTTTTTTAAACATAATTATGAAAATAATTACTAATAGTTGTTTTACATAAATTAGATGTTATTGTTTGATAACATAATTTAATTATGATTATGGATTGTTAGGCACGCAAATAGGTGACTTGTTTTTGGAATCTCATTTTATTTGACGAAAATTAAAAAAAGTATGTGATAAAAAGTAAAATGGCGAACCACAATTAATAAAAGCTTAGAAAGAGATGTGATAATTTTTTTTAGTTTTTTTTCTTCAAGTTTGATTGTTTATAAATTTAATGAAATTACTTTACAAAAATCAATATTGTGTGGCACATGATGTAAAAGATATGATAAATTTTTGGTTCTTTTTTATGTTTGATTCATAATTATTAAGTACAATATTCAATCTCCGATTGGTGCATATGAAAAATATAATGTATTCGATAGTAAAAAGTTAAATGATATAAAATTAACATGCAGTCGAAAATAAGTGACATTTGATAATTGAATGAAGGAAAATAATATAATATAATGGAGTATGAGAGTATTCACCTCTTTATAATTATTCTCTTTAATCTTATTTAAGATTTTAATTATGATTTTAATACTTTACTATCTATATTTTTATGGAAACTTCCGTTGGAAATCCACCAAATTCTATGATGAATTTCTACCACAATGACAATTTAATTATGAGACAAATAAAGAAAAAAAGACAAGACAAATATTTCTGCAGAGTTTCTCTCTGCCCACAAACTGTGGAAAACTTTCTTAATCACTTACAACTGCAAATTCTGGGATTACAATGAATTGACTTACTTGACTTTCTTGACTTTTTTTGAAAAACAGGGGTTACTCCCCTCTATTTATAACTGAGCTTACACCATAAGCCCAAAGCCTAAAATATCTTTTTGTTACTAAATCAAATCAAATCTATTCTGGACTTAAATCAAATCTATTTAAATCTAAAATAAATCAAATCTTCTTTGACACTATGAATTACAATTTAACACACCACCTAATTCATTGTGTCTAAACTGTCTATGTTCATCATGGCTCTTAGCTTTCTGAATACTTCGACTTGCACTCCCTTCGTCATGATGTCTGCAATCTGATTCTTAGTTCTGCAGTGTTCCAAATTCATCTTCCCATCTGCTACCTGCTCTCGAAGATAATGGAATCTCATTTCGATGTGCTTACTTCGACCATGTGCTATTGGGTTCTTTGCCAGATTAATAGCTGACATGCTGTCTATCTTCATAGTAATTGCTCCATGATTTTTCCCTGTTATCTCTTCGACCAAGTTCACCATCCAAGTTGCTTGACATGCACAAAGAGAAGCAGCTATGTATTCTGCTTCGCATGATGATAATGCCACTACTGGTTCCTTTCTTGAATTCCAAGCAATTGGTGCACCACCTAGCATAAACACATATCCTGCTATTGACTTTCGATCTTCAGCATCACTACACCAACTCGAATCAGTGTATCCCACTAACTTGCATTCTTTTTCTTTATCAACTGCAGGAAACAAAATGCCATAATCGAAAGTTCCTTTGAGATACCTTAGTATCTTCTTCACTGCTGCTAGATGTGATACATTTGGCTTCTGCATAAATCTACTTACCATACCTACATTGTATGCTAAGTCACGCCTTGTATGACAAAGATATCTTAATGATCCAATAAGTCTTCTGTATTGGGTTGGATCAACATCATCTTCATCTGCATCTTTCGACAGTTGCAGTCTTGGTTGTGCAGGTGTCGAAGTTGAGTTGCATTATTCTATCTCAAACCTCTTGAGAATTTCTCCTGCATATCTTCTTTGATGCATCATCAAACCTCTACTGCTCTTGTAGAATTCGATACCAAGGAAATATGAAATCTCACCCAAATCAGACATTTCGAATTCCTTGTTGAGATCACCTTTGAAGTCTTCGATCTCACTTTTACAGCTACCTGTTATCAACAAATTATCTACATAGAGACATAGTATAAGCAATTTACTCTTGCTTCTTCTTACATATACTCCATGTTCAGTTGTGCACTTCACAAATTCCTTCTCCCTTAGAAAACTATCAATTTTCTTATTCCAAGCCCTTGGAGCTTGTTTCAATCCATACAGGGCTTTATGTAGCCTGTACACCTTTCTTTCTTCGTCATGTTTCACAAACCCAACTGGTTGTTTAACATAGACTTCTTCATCTAAGGGTCCATTTAGGAATGCACACTTCACGTCCATCTGACATATGTGCCAACTGTTTATTTCTGCTAGACCAACAACCAACCTGATTGTTTCGATCCTAGCAACAGGTGCAAAAACTTCGTCGAAGTCTATTCCTTCTTTCTGTAGAAATCTTTTCGCCACAAGTCTTGCTTTGTGTCGAGTTACTTCACCTTTCGAATTCGTTTTTACTTTGTATACCCACTTGACATTAATTGCCTTCTTGCCTTGAGGCAATTCGACAAGTGACCAAGTGTTGTTGTCTTTAATAGACTTTACTTCTTCGTTCATTGCTTTCACCCACTTCGAATCTTTTAATGCTTCAGCTGCATTAACAGGTTTGACATCTGCATAGAAAGCATAATGTACCAGCTCACCTTCATTATCTATCACATCATCTGATGTAATCACACAATCTTGCAATCTTGCAGGCATGCGTCTTGTTCTTTGAGGTCTGCTTGTACTTGGTATATCTGCTGGTTCCTCTTGTCGAACTTCTCTTTTGACTTGAGTTTCTGGCTCTTCGAATAGGATTCCCACTGAATCTTTCTTGACATTTGCAGTCCAATCCCATTCTTTAAACTCATCTATGATCACGTCCCTGCTGATCACAATCTTCTTGTTCTCTGGATCGAACAACTTGTAGCCTCCTGTCGAATGATATCCAACTGGGATCATTTGACTTGACTTGTCATCAAGTTTTCTTCTCAACTGATCTGGCACATGTCTATGTGCAATAGATCCAAATACCTTCAGATGACTCAAGCTAGGCTTCACACCAGACCAACATTCTTCTGGAGTAATTCCTTCTAGCTTCTTTGTAGGACATCTGTTCAAAATGTATGTTGCAGTCGAAACAGCTTCACCCCAAAACTCTTTAGGTAAACTCTTGCCTTTCAACATACTTCTCACCATATTCATGATGGTTCAATTTTTCCTTTCTGCAATTCCATTTTATTATGGAGTATAGGGTGGCACCACCTCATGCACAATCCCTTCCTTTTCACATAATCTGTCGAAGTCTTTCGACACATATTCTCCACCACCATCAGTTCTCAAAACTTTGAGCTTTAGACCACTTTGTCTTTCGACCATAGACTTAAACCTGGTAAATACTTTGATCACTTCACTTTTCTTCTTGATCGGGTAAGTCCATAGCTTTCGACTGAAATCATCTATGAATGTAACAAAGTATTTGTTACCTCCCATCGAATCCACCTGGATTGGTCCACATACATCAGAGTATATGACTTCAAGACTAGCCTTCGATCTGCTTCCTGCATCCTTGCTGAAGCTATTCTTGTGTTGCTTCGCCTGCACACATTCCTCACATACCTCGTTTGGAATGTAAATTTATGGAAATCCTGAAACCATATTTCTTCTCTTCAAATCTCTGATGTCTCTGAAGTTTAGATGACCTAGTCTATAATGCCATATCCATTCATCTCTGCTAGCTGCAGTCGAAAGGCACTTGTGCTCCATCACATTCAGTTCAATCTTGAAGGTTCGATTCCGAGACATAGGAGCCTTCAAGATTACTCTCCCATTTGCATCAACGACTCTCATCAACTTATCTTCGATTGACACTTTATAATTCTTTTCGACCAACTGTCCTATACTGAGCAAATTGCTCTTCATGCCTGGTATGTACAACACATTGGAGATTACTGACCT